CTTAGAGCAGCTACACCTGCCCCCGCCCCCGCCCCCACCACCCCAGGTACCGCGGGCCCCTTGGTCCCCGATGGAGCCCCGTGGGCCGGGGGAGGGAAGAGTCTGAGTTTTCTGGGCCTTTGGGGATTTTAAGCCTGGAGGTTGTTTGGTCCGTGCCCCTGCTTGAGTACTGTCCCTCTGAAGCTCTTTGAGGCTGGTGAAAATCGATGGCGCACCCCCTCCCCCCCATCAGGCACCCCCTTCAGCTCGTAGAAGACATTTCCCTGGGTCTAATCCTGTGCCCTTAATTGAGGCCACTGTAGAAATGGAAGGGACTCCGGGCCTAGGAAAATCCTGCTTCCAGGAGCTTCCTTGTCAGTAGAAGGAAGACGCTTTGACTGGCCAAGGGCACCCAGACAAGGAACTAGAGGCCCGGGCTCCGGCCGCCGCTGTAACCTTCCTGCTGAGTGACCTTAGCTGGGTCACTTGCTTCTCTGTGGGGCCAAGTGCCCAGTGCCACCAGATGAGGAGCGGAGCTGACAGGGCTATGTGGGGTCCCCACGGGGTGACTGCTCTCCTACCCCCCACCTCCCGTGTCCCCACAGTCCCTGGTGGAGGGGCCTCCGTTCCAGCCTGGGCCCAGTCATCTCAGGCCTGCAGAGGAGGAGCTGCCGCCTCCCCCAGACGAGCCTGTGGGCTTCCCGGAGAGAGAGGCGTCCACAGGTATGGGCACAGGGCTGGGGGGATTCTGGGTGGCCCCCGGAGCCCTCAAGGGGCTGGCGTGAGCTTCCAGGTGGGAACTAGGACAGCAGGGACCACCACTGTCTTCCCAGCTCACGTCAGCTTCTTATTACCTTCACTGTTTTTCCTTTAGCACCAAAATCCACTTAAAATTGATCACTGAATTTGCTGATAGCGAAAAATACCTTGAATTTTTTTCACTACTTAATTTTTTGAATCCATAAGAGCCTCACATCGTATAAAGCGTGAACGGTGCACAGTGCAGTCCTCCCCCTGCCCACCCCGTCTCACCGTTTCCTTCAGGCAGCCTCTGTTGCCAGCATCCCGTCCCCCTCCCCGATATCTCTTACGCATAGGGAGGCAAGTACAAATAAACACGCGCCCACTTCCCCCGCAGCAGGAGCAAGCCCCGCTGTCCTGCGCTCTTCCCTTCGCGCGCCGCAGAGCTCACGCACATCAGAGCGGCGCGGCTCCTTGTTTCCACAGCCGCGCAGTGTCCGGGGCACAGCCCCGGCCGCACCCACCCCGTCGCCCGTGGGCCGGTGCTTGGGCTGCTTCTTGCTGGGACAGACAGGCCGAGATGAACTGTCTCGCCCGTGGGCCGTTTCGCCTGCGTGCAAGTTGGTGAGAGAAATTCCCAGAAGAGGAAACGCTGTGGCCAGAGCGTGGGTGCATCTGTAGCTCGGATGCTTTTGCCAAATCGCCCTTCGCGATGGGCCCGATCCAGACTCCCGCCGGCGGGGTCTGTGTGACCTGCCCGCAGCCCCTCCTGCACCCTGTTTGTTCATTTTATAAACAGTATCAAGTTTGTATCATGCAGCAAAGGCCTTGGCTCCTCCGAGGTGGTAACATAGTTCTCCCCTGGCTCGCAACAGTGCCGTTAGGTTTCCGCTTCCACATCTTTGATACATTTGTAACGATCTGGGTGTAAGGTGTCATGAGGGAGGAGGCCTCCCCCCAACTTCCATTTTTTGGAGATCAGAACCCAGTTGTCCTGACACTGCCTCCCCTGTCAAAGGCCATTCACATGGCTTTTTTTTTTTTTAATCTGAATTTAGGTGATAGGAACATTTTTTTTTTTAATATATTTTTATTGATTTCAGAGAGGAAGGGAGAGGGAGGGAAAGATAGAAACATCAGTGAGCGAGAAACATCAATTGCACACCCCCTCCTGGGGATGGAGTCCGCACCCCAGGCATGTGCCCTGACTGGAAATCGAACCTGCGACCTCTTGGTTCCTGGGTGGGTGCTCAACCAGTGAGCCACACCAGCTGGGCCACATTGCTTTTTGTTGGTCCTCTTGACCCTCCCCAGGAGACGAGGTCACACTACGACCCCCAGGGGTTCGAGGCAGAGACCTGGCACTGGGCATGTTCTGGGGGGTGACCAGGGACAGTATTCCCAGGCTGGGCAGGTCATGGCCTGTGTCCCTTCTTCCCCAGACGTCTGCGCCTTCTGCCACAAGACGGTGTCCCCCCGAGAGCTGGCCGTGGAAGCCATGAAGAGGCAATACCACGCCCAGTGCTTCACCTGCCGCACCTGCCGTCGCCAGCTGGCCGGGCAGAGCTTCTACCAGAAGGACGGGAGGCCCCTCTGCGAGCCCTGCTACCAGGTAACCCCCAAGTGGGCACTTGGGGAATGTTCTATTATTTCATTCCCCACAACAACCCTGGGAGGTGGGCACTGCTGACCCATCTCACAGATGAGGAAGCTGAGGCTCGGAGTGGGGAGGAGCTCAGCCAAGGTGTATTCCTTTCCTGTGACAGCTGTAACTCTACCCCAAACTTGGTGGCGCCAAGCAGCACACATTTACCCTCAGAGTTGTGGAGGCCAGAAGTTGAAAATCAGTTTTACTGAGTCAAAATCAAAGTGTTGAGCTCCACCCCCGCCCCCAACCTGTACTCCAGGGGAGAATCCGTGTTCTTGCCCTTTCCAGGGTCGAGCTCTGTGTTCCTTGCCTTCCTCTGTCCAGTTTCAAAGCCGTCGGGGCTGCATCTCCCTCATTTCAGTATCATATTTTCTCCTGTGTCTGGTCTCCCTCTGCCTCCCTCCCTCAGGGACACTTATGATGGCATTTAGGGCCCACCTGGAAATGCAGGATACTCTCCCCATCTCCATGTCCTTAACTCCATCACACTGCCTTTCAGGGTAGTCACAGGCTCCAGGGTTAGGACCCCTGGGGTAGCCACTCACCTTTCATACAAGGTGGTGGAGCTGGGGTTCCACCCTGGGCCATCTGGTTCTGGGGCGCGCCTGTGGTCTTGCCGCTCTCACCTAGAGTCTCGAGGTGCTGACTAATGGTCTAAAGGGGAGTCTGTGTCCCCCCTGGGTACCCCACGCAGTCTGGGGGCACTAGTTTGGGTGTCCAGGTATTGCGGTTGCTGGCTCTGAGATGGTGTGTGGTGGCGTTTTTCGGCATGGTGTACGGACCACCCACGGACGCACCACCTGGACGGACGTAGGCCTCACCTTGTCCTCTTGAATGGGTAGCACCGGGTAATCTGCATTCTAACAAGTCTCTCGGGTGATTCTGGTGTGCACTGAAGTTTGAAAAGCACTGATTTGAGGACTGAGAATTAGGATTTGGGACTAGCTAGAGAATTCAGAACGATCTGATCCCAGGAGCGAGGCACTGGAGGAGAGAGAGGCCAGGCTGCCCACCCCGCTCTGACCCATCAGTGTGACAGTGGGGGACGTCCTACCCTCCTCCCTCGGCGGGGAGCCAGGTAGGGCTGAGGCACTGAGGGGAAGCTAGGGCGGCGGGGAGGGGGCTTCCCGCTGGAAGCAGCCAGGAGGGATTTGAGCAGTGCCATGGGGAGAGAAGGGCTGCCCCAAGACGGGAGGGAAGGGGAAATGGTCTCCCTTCCCTCTAAAAAAACCACTACACCTGTCAGGTGAAGTCAGTGAAATCAGGTTGAAATGAACAGGAACACAGGAAGGGGAAGAGAGATGTCTAGGAGGAAAGATGACATTAGAGGGAGCTTGTTGCTCTGCCTCAGTAATATCCCCCCCCCATCATCCCTCCTCAGTAATATCCCCCCCCCATCATCCCTCCTCACCCAGTGGATTTGAGGCAGTTTATAAGATGTTAAAGTTGCACATGTAAAAATCTGTTGAGAGGGTAGATCTCATGTTGTGCTCTTACCACATAAAAAAATATTTTTTAAAAAGAATGCATATAATACTATGAAATGTAAACTAAATCAGAACAGAGGAAAATCAAAGTAGAAAGTGAGATGAGACCGAAGGGAAAGTGAGTTCCCCAAAATATATGAATAAAAGACCCCTACAGTTGTTCCTGAAAGTGGAGCATGGAATTTGACTCTGAGCTTCCAAGTGGCCAAATGGAAAAGGGAAAGAGTTTTAAGGGTTATTGTCCATAAGATAAAAAGCACACCAGTTTCTCTAGGACTTCCTCTTCATGACCTGGAGATTTAAGAGAAATTTCTTCCATGGGCCCTAGTGCACATTGGCCTCGAGCATTTTCTAGTAACAAAGCACAGTCATCACTTTGTGGACAGATTCCTCACTGTAGGCCAAGGACACAAGGCCAAGCTGGATCTATCTTAAGTAACAGCGGAGGCTTGGGGGCAGTAGTTACAGGCCCATTGCATGAATTGGAGCTCCTCTCCCCTACCCCTGGCCTCCTCGCCCCTTCTGAGCTGGTCAGAAGCCCCTTGTGGCATAGATTGGGCACACAGGTGGGATGGGTCTGAGACAGTGGCCCTCTGTCCCAGGACACACTGGAGAAGTGTGGCAAGTGTGGCGAGGTGGTCCGAGAACATATCATCAGGGCCCTGGGCCGGGCCTTCCACCCAACCTGTTTCACTTGCGTGACCTGCGCCCGGTGCATCGGAGATGAGAGCTTTGCCCTCGACAGCCAGAATGAAGTGTACTGCCTGGACGACTTCTATAAGTATGAGGGAGATCCGGGCATGGGGGGGGAGGTTTGGGGGGGACACGGGCAGAATTGAGGAGCTGAGCCTGGGTCCTGGGTCCTGGGTTGGAGCTGAGCCCGGGTCCTGAGTCGTGGGGAGGAGCTGAGCTGGGTCCTGGGGAGCTGAGCCTGGGTCCTGGAGGGCAGGGCAGAGCTTTCCTGCAGAAACCAGGCCTTCTTGTCCCACACACCCTCTATCTGACCATGCACATGCTTGCAGCTAACTTTTTGAGCACCTGTACTGTGCCAGGCACTCCACTCGGATTAGGCCCGTTCATCCTCAAAACTAATTTAGTAGTAAATTGAGAATAGAAAACTTAATTGAATCTGTTTTACCAAATGTGGAAACTGAGGCACGAAGCAGATTAGTACCCAGGGTCTCCCCGCTGCTAAGTCTGGAAGCTGCAACTCAAACTCCCCGTCAACCTGAAGTTGGGGCCTTGCTCTCAACTCCGGGACCACAGTGCCTCCCCTCAGAACTGGAGCCAAAGGAGCAGTAGGGACAGGGATATCCGAGAGGCTCCCCAAAGGGAGAGACAGCCATGCCTGTTAAAAGGAAAGGAGAGCCGCCCAGCCAGCGTGGCTCAGCGGTTGAGCATCCACCTAGGATCCAGGAGATCTCGGTTTGATTCCCAATCAGGGCACATTCCCAGATTGCGGGCTCGATCCCCAGCAGGGGGCGCGCAGGAGGCAGCCGATCAATGACTCATCATTGATGTTTCTCTCTCTCTCCCTCTCCCTTCCTCTCTCTGAAATCAATAAAGATATATTCTTTAGGAAAATAAAAACATTTTTAAAGAAAGAAAGGAGAGAGGGAGAAAAAGCAGTGACCTGTGATATAAGACTAATGAAACGGCCCTGCGGGGGGGCCCCCCCCGTCCCATTACACAGGCTCCCCATCCGGGAAGAAACAGGCACCTCCAGGCGGGGCCCCAGGTGCAGTCCCAGAGCCCCGGGTCTGAAACAGCTCGGGGAGCCGAGTCACAGCCAGCCCCGCGGCCACGGCTACTTGCTGCAGCTGTCGCGGGACCGCCTCCCGAGCGCGCGCCCCTGTCCCCGCAGGAAATTCGCCCCGGTGTGCAGCATCTGCGAGAACCCCATCATCCCCCGCGACGGGAAGGATGCCTTCAAAATCGAGTGCATGGGAAGGAACTTCCACGAGAACTGCTACAGGTGCGAGGTGAGTGCAGCGGCGGCCGGGTCACGCCTGCGGGGCGCGTTCGGTCCCC